GCAAGCCGACTATTACACGTGTCAGCACTGTCGAGACTTACGCAAACACGGCACACGTGCGGCCGTTGAATGCCAGGAATCTTATCGTTTCCTGGGTCCATGGAACACACGCCTTCTCCGAGACAGGCAAATTTCTCAATGTTACATCAATTGACTCCGCTTGAAAGCAGTTATCGTACACCCCACGCCTACGAAAAAAGAAAGTTAGCACGTGCAGCTGTGAATTTGGGCTTCGTGGAAGGGCGATAGCGAAGCCCGTTACTCAGGTGGGGTTAGAAAATTTTGTCTGTCTGCCAGCACTCCTCCAGCGCCGCAGGCCATGGTACACTGAGATTCCTAACGCTACGAATGTAGCAGGTATGGTGCAATGCACTGAGATATCGCACCATACGTGCAATGCCTCCAGTCATATTGCACCTTACGTGCAATGCGTCCCGAAAATGCCCTATGCTAGTAATGCACGGGGATGGGAAGGCATTGAACTTCATGTGCAATGCTTATGCATTGCACCCATTGACGCTATATTCATAGCGTTTGGATTCTCTGTGTAGATGCAAACGCCAGGCGTGGATTGTCGAAACTGGCGCGGGATTGCGAAGCCTGTTACAAGCCACGGTGCACCTACCTTGTTGATAAATTCGTTAAATCGTCTTGGAAACACAACCAAGGCAACCCCTTCGATTGCAAGAGGACATTCTTATCGTGAACGACGAAATTTTGCGATTAATTAAGTTTGCTTAAGCATAGAACTTGTTCGGTCAATTTTTCAGACAATCTGGCAGGCGTGAAATATTTTTAGATTGTTTTCATATTGTTCCTTGGTGGTGCCCCACTCCCTTCCATTATAATTATTCAATGGCAGTGTGAACGGAGAAGTATGTGCAGCGTAGATAGACAGTGTTTTTTTTACTCGTTCTTTACACACCACTCACTAACATACAAAACTCTATGTGAAGAGAACGAGTATTGTGTTCAAAAATGAGTTTTGGGGGGACATCTTTCATCTCAGATCTGACAGCATGTGGGAAAATGAGAGTGGTATCAAATGAAAGATGGAGTGTCAGTCGCTAGATCGAAAATGAACTTTTTTTTGCTTGCAATGAGAAATACTGAGAAAATGAACATGAAAGAGAGACGTTTTTAGTGCATTATGTGAAACTAACCTCTTTTCAAGTGTTTGCATCTTTTGATATAGAACGCCACTGGAACGCAAACAACAACGACAATGACCAGAGATCTTTGGCCAACAAAAAACTAGGAGGGTATTTTCCAAGTGACAATGGATAATTTTGAGAAATTTGGTCATAAAGAAACATCGTTTCACGCTAATCGTGATATATGTCTCAGAACTGCTAGCGGTTTCTTCCTAACGAAAATTTCTTGGCAGGTGTTGCATGTCTTATGTTGGAGATGAGACACGAAATAATAAGTTTCATTTGACTTCTTTTTTTAAGAAATGTGTCCTTCTGAGGGTTTTGGTCATGGAAAAAGCAGGTTTTTGGCACGGACTCACGGACTCTAGTGTAAATTCGATTATGCACGAGAATCGATATCTCGAGATATCGCGATGCATCGATGTTCCCTGCCTGAGAGGAGAACCAACCGGAAGCGTTCGTTGCAATGCAAAATTACAAATCGTCTGAGGACAATTCATGTAACGATCAGCGACTGACACATCAATCTAGCTTTGTAAAGAACGAGTCCCTCCCATGTGATATCAATTCTTTGATGTCTTTCCTTCTTGTTATTTCTTCAGATCGGACCCCACTAACTTCACAATTGTGCCAATCAACCAAGTTGATGACCTCCTGAACTTGATCGACGTGCAAAAGCCGACAGTTTTCTACGCGCACGGGTACACGGAGACTCCGAGTGGCGACAGTGTGCATGGAATCACTACAGGTAGGTCTCTGCAGTCCCATTTGCTTGTAAGAATAATATCAAAACTTACTGAATGCGTGCTTAATGGTCGGACACATGGCCAAGTTATGGCGTGACAGTTACGCCAAACAATGGCGTGGTCATGTCAAGAATTGGCGTGGAGAAAAGTCATGCCTAAAACCGACGTGACAAGAAATTCACACCAAAAACTTTTTAGAGTAAAATTTTAGAGTCACGCCGAAACTTAAAATGAGCATGTAAAATTGACAAGCGAACAACAAGGTATTGTCAGATTTCCAATTTGAACAGTACTCTAGGCATTAAGCCCCTGACTGTCCGTTTCACAGTATACCTGTAAGCAAGGGCGCAGCCTGCCAAGCATGCACTGACTCGATAACTGAAGCAGTGCACTAGAGTTATGTTTTTGTTGAAGTGTATGTACATGGCATGTTGTGCTGAGCATATGTGCATGCCATGTGTACACGGCATGTGGCGTGAGTTAGTTGCAGCCATGTTCCAGTTAGTGCATATAATGTACGCTTTTCGATTTACAGCACCGTTGTTTGTGTGTTTCAGCGTTCATACAGCGTGGACAACACAACGTCGTCTTAGTGGACTGGAGCAAATACGATGGAGCACCTTACACTTCGGCGCTTGAAAACGTGCCCGGGGTAAGACGATAACAACGCGCTGCTAGTCGCTGCAATGTTCCCAATGTTGCGTGTTCACTGTGAAAATTTTGGCTGTCGCTTGATGTCAATTTCAAGGCTAATTTTCCAAGACATTTGATGACGTCACCGTCACGCCCTTGCAGGAAGTACGGGAGCTCTTATGAAAGTGTCATCACTTAAGGGAGGGTGGGGTACAATGGGACGCTTTTTGGCCCGCCCTTCTATTCAAAAAATAGGGGGAGGGCCTATGCATTTGCCTTTGTGTCTGTGTGTTGTTGTTGTTGTTGTAGTTGTTGTTGTTGTTGTTGTTGGCGTCTGTGTACAAGGAAGGAGTTGAGCTAGAGTAACCAGATTTGGAGGGTACTTCAGGAGTACCGTCCAAACAAATAATCCGGTGGTGCAAATCCCGTCCGGGTCGCACAAGGGCTGCTGCAGGTGCATCATGGTTTACATGAGCGGGAGGGGGATTTCCGCCACTATTGGTGCTAGCAGGGCTTATAGGGGTATTTTTGGAATCGGGGCGACGAGACAAGATGAATGGACCTGGTCCCGCCCCCATCGGCCGCTTTACGATTGGCCAGATCAGGATCTTCAAAAAAGGGGGTCGACCGACAAAAAAAAAATTATTGCAGATTTCGATTGGTCTCAGCAAGCCCTTTTTCAACGAGGGGTGGGAAAAGGGGGGTCCAGGAGCCCGACTTCGTCTATTAGTCACATCAGGATCTTGAAAAAAGGGGGTCGACCGACTAAAAATTTTATTTAATTTTGGATAGGTCTTGGCAAGACCTCTTCAACGGGGGGTGGGAAAGGGGGGGTCCAGGACCCCGGCTTCATGAGTTAGGGGGAAAAAGTGCGACGGACTCGTTTTGCGCCCCTGCTGTGCCTCTATTGCAAGGAGTTGCAGTAGCATGGCAAATATGGGTATTTTCGGAATGAGGGCGAAGAGACAAATGAATGGGCATATTCTAAGGACAGTTGGGTAAAAAGTGTAAGGACTATTGCATATTGTGAATAGAAGGCGGGCCTAAGTCACGATGGTACATCGATAACTTGCTTTACCCGCTCACGGGGTGTGTGATGCGAGCGGGCCAAAGGGCCCCGGGGCCTTCGACTGGCCAAGTTGGGTCTGATGCGGGGGCCGAAGGCCCGAGAAAAGGCCGCCGGCAGGCCAAGCTGGGCCGGCCCCCTGTCGAACCGAGTTGCCGGCCAGCGAAGCGGAGCTGGCAACTCGTTCGACGGAAGGGCGGGCCCTAGCTTGTTTTTTTTTTGGCCTGGGTCCGAGACCGTTGGAGCTAGAATGTCTCCCGATAGCTCAAAATGTTCTTTGTTATTTGTCTATAACTTTTATTTAAAACAAAAAATTGATTATACGGCATTTTTGGTCTGTGGAGACATTTGCCAAGAGTGTCACCTGTCCCATTGTCCCCCGGGCTGGGGCACAATGGGACAGCCTCGGGGCACATTGGGACACCCCCTTTTTATGACCTAAAATAAAGCGAAGGAGCATTAAAAAAAATTGTGGGCAATAGGTTTTGATCTATTTTCGTCACAAACTATTTTGAAAAAGAACTTACGTTACTGGTTGCCTTTAAAAAATACCGGAGTAAGATGTGTAACAAATAAGAAATATGCAGTGTTAAATACAATAAAAAGCACAAAAGAAATGGGTGATGCCAAAATTCTTGTGAATAACATAATTAACGTATGGTTTGGCTTCATTTAGACATAAACTACAACCAAGACCTGAAAGCCCTTTGATTAACACGTCCCATTGTGCCCTAAACGAGGGTGTCCCATTGTGCCCCGAACGACACGCTGGACTGGACACGCTCTAGCTCTTAAACCCAAAAGCCAGAGCGCCCAGACAAGTCTCACTGAACCTCAAAAGACAAACGAACACACTGGTGAACTCGCCACGAACGTGCGACAAGTACTTTAAATGCTAGAGGAAAAACAAAATTCTCCTGTCTTGCTAGTTTTGCCTCGTTTTTCTTACATTCGCACTTTGCGTCGACCTGCCGAGAGAACGCTCAGTCGAATAGAGTTCCCGCTTTGTGAAACTAACATGGCAACTGCTGGCCTACAATCGAGCGTAACCCGCAGATCCTACGAACACCGCAAGGTGGCTAATTTGACAGTGTCCCATTGTGCCCCGTGTCCCATTGTACCCCACCCTCCCTTACTGATGGCAGGACATAATGTTGTCATCATTTCGACGGCGTCCTGATAGAATAATCCTAACTGCCAGGGTAGATTCAAGACAATCCTAACTGTCTGTCACAGCAGATCCAAGACAATCCTAACTTTTTGTCAACGCAGAACAGAATGGGGTTTTTGCACACACCCCCCCCCAGCCCCTAGATAGCCGCCCGAAAGATAGGCTAAAATGGCTACTTTGCCCCTGTAAGTAGGCAAAAAGTGCTACTTTGCCCTCCCCCCCTAGGCCACCTCTGGATCCGCCTCTGGCTAATGCAGCGTTCCTTCCAGGTGGGCAAGGCTGTCGGCGAGGCGATAGACTCATTGGTGCAGCAGGGTCTGTGCAGCGACGACCTCTGGTTCATCGGCCACTCTTTGGGCGCTCACGTGGCTGGCGCTGTTGCCGAGGCCGTCAGCTTCACCTGGAAAAGGATCACGGGTCAGTGAAATCTCGGTGTAGCACCAGCTTTGTTCGCCAGTAGTGTTGCGCAAATTTATTGAACAATGCCCTAAAAAAAGCGTTTAACTTATAACCCGTCACTTATGACTTCTTCGAAACAGGATAAGTTACTTTCCTAGCTTCTCTAATTTGTGTTCGAAAGTATACTTGCAATATTTCATACTTCAAACCGTGCGCGGATATTGTCTGTTGTTACACTCTCAGCTTCTTATTGACTTCATCGTCAGAAACCAGCCGCTATAGCATAAAACAATAATACTCAGTATTTTCTCCTTAGATAGGAACAATTTACTGCACAAACTTTTGTAGGAATTATTTTATCTTATTTATTTTATTAAAGTACTAACAAAATTTAAAGTACTAAAAAAATGCAGATAACAAAAGTCAAAAGTACATATCACTGTTGCACAAAAAACCAGAGGTAAGGGAGGGTGGGGCACCATGACCACTGGGGCACCATGACCACCCCCCTCGCTCTCGGGAACTACTTTGTCGACGGCAACCGGTCGACCGGACTTTTGAGAGAATAGAATTCTAACTATTTTCAGCCAGAGCCCTACCTTCTAGCTTCAAGGGTACGACCATAGCACCTCGCCAAAATTTTTGTTACAGCGTTTTGGCTAAATTGGGCGTTTTTCAAATCTGGGATATTTTTTCTCACTCTCACATTTGAGAAGATAGGTTCGATGTCTTAGGTTTTTCTCAAAATGTCGGCTCTTCGGCAAAATATCCAACATCACATTTAATTCTAAGTAGTTGTTTGCTTGCTCGGGGAGCCTTAGAGTCGTAAACTGCACTGTGGGGCACCATGACCACTTTTTAGTGGGGCACCATGACCACACATATTTGAGAGTTTTTTCTCATATTTTGGCCTGATAATGATTTATTTTCGTCGAAAATTTGCTTTTTGCTTCTGAAAATGTATAAAGGTTGAATAATTGCTGCAGAATAGATAGTTTTATCACAAATTTGTGATAATTGTGAATCACCAAGATGATTAAGAATGGTTCTGAAACTGAGACTTGAAATGGTGGTTTTTCTTGCACTAAATGAGCTCCAAACCGCAAAAGTTGGCCGCGAAGGCGATCCGTGGCTACTTTGCACCAAGATGGCTCTGGCATTATGAGAAACAGCATTTAATTCACTTGTTGCAGTGTAGTTTCCGCGATAATTTTCTTAAAAATTTTCCAAATTGAAATCTGCATACGAA